CGCCCATGGCGCCGCTCACGGCCCCCGTGCGCGTGTGAGGCGGCAGCGGCAGCGGCAGCGGCGAGGCGGCCGGCGAGGAGACATGAGCCCGCTCCAGCCCTGGGTCACGCTCCTGCTCTCGCTGCTGCTGGAGGTAAGGCGGGTGTCTGTGTGTATGTGTGTGACTGCATCGGCTTGTATTTTATTGTTTTGCTGCGTGGGGCGCCGTGCGGGCTGTGGGAGRGTGGAAACAAAGAAAATAAATCCCTGAACAGCCTTCCTCTGCCCCCCTTTTTTTGCCCTTGGGGCCGTCCCTCCGCCCCTTTTCTCTTCCGTGCGAGCGCGGCTTTTGCTCCCTGCTTCGCCCCACTGCCCTCCTCGCCTATATGTTATATAGGCGTGCGTGCGTTTTCCCTGTGCCTCCCTGYGTGTGTCCCTCGCGGGGCGGGAGGCGGCTTTCCAGGCGCGCAGGCTGCTCGCAGCGCTGCCCCGAGCGGCGTGGGGGGATGAAAATCCTCTGGGATGTCCAGGGGAGCTGGGCGAGGAGGAGAAGGCAGGAGAGAGCGCGGTGCGGGGCCGCTCCTGCCGCCCAGCACCCGGCTGCCCTGGCACTGAGTTGCCCAGGTCTCAGCCGCGCGCCCGGGGGCACCGACACTTGCCCAGGTCTGCTCGTCATACCTGTGAGCAGCGACCTGCCCTTTATTTTTGTCTATTTATTCACCTCGTTGCGCGTTCGGGGAGCAGAAAACACTGATTCGGGTGGTGTGCGGGTCCGGGCCCCGTGTCAGGCTGTAGCCCCCTGGCTTCCCGAGGGGTTCGGCTGGCGGGCGCGCCCGTTCTTGGAGCGGGATCCCTGTGTGGACACAGTGGGACACAGCGGAGGCAGGASGCACCGCGGCGGCGGAGCCCAAACTTCGTGCCAGGCCTGGCTGGTTGTGCAGCTCTGGCGGCTGCCACCAACACCCCCGAAATAAAACAAAAAGCTTCTCTGTTTTTTGTCGGGGAGGTTTGTGCCGTGCGGTTGTGTCACCGGCTGCCTCTGGAGCAGGGAGATCCCCGTGCGCCTTGTGGCAGGGCAGAGGAGGCAGCGAGCTCCGTGCCTGGCTTTGTTTGAGCGCCRGGGTCGAATCCGGGACACACGGAGGAGCGTCAGGCGCTAAGGGGAGGTAGGATGGGCGCCAGCCACGCGCTGTGTCCCGCTGCTCCCTCACTGTGGGGTCCCGGATAGGCCCCGTGGCTCCTGGGATGCGCTCCAGGCAGAGCCTTGCCTGGCTCTGGAAACGCGGGAGCTCGTCTTAGAGGCGTTTCCAAAGCCCTGCTCCTTTGGAGGGCGTCTGTCCGGAGGTTGGGAAGGTGGGGARCAGAGGTGTGGATGTGACGGAATACTTTAAACAGAATATGGATTARTTCTCCTGGAAAGGAAACACAGGGTAATCGGAAACCTCAGTTTGGGCTGGATTGCCCTCAATAAGGGATGTAACTCATAAAAAAGATGTTTTCTTCTTGTGCCCTTTGTAGTGGGGGGCAGGCTAGGAATACTTCCTCTGTGTCAGCCTTTGTCATCACTCCAGGACGATGGGTTTCAGGAATCATCGTTAGATGTAAGCGCACAACGCAGCTCTCCCCGAGCGGCCCGGGCTGTGCTGCGTTAGCCGCTCGCACGCCGGCCCCGCCGCTGCCTCGCGCTTGCCCCTTGGTGCCGTAGAAACTCTTTGCAAAGTGCAAATGGCAAAACATGGATTGAGTGGAAGAGCTGGTGGAATTCCCCAGAGAAACGCGCTTCTCCGAAAACGTGAAAGATTTTGTGCTTTCGGGATCTGTCTGATTAGACCTCTTTGCTCCATGATGCACATCCTCTTGAGAGCGATCCTGTGCGCTGGGAAGAGYCGTTTGCATAAATCCTCTTTGGCTGTGACCCATCTTGGTGTTATCTAAGCTTTTGTGCTGATTTTAATTGTGTTTGGTGTTTGTGTTTGTTTGTTTGTGTGTTTGTTTCTTCTTCCTTTCAATCTAGAATGTTTGTTTTGCCATCTGGGTTTGTGGATTTTTTTTTCTTTTTTTTGGAARAGCTTAGGATACTTCTATGAATGTGATTCAATGTAGATTTAAGTGTTGTTAGAGGCGGCTCTCTGCGTGGCAAAAGGCACAGAAACAGAAGACTGGGAGTTTAAACAACTGGAGATACCTGATGGCTCCAGTTTAAACAACTGGAGATACCTGATGGCWTTTGGGGTCATTTAAACTTTTGCTSTTTTCTGCACTGACTTCCATAGTGATAGTGATCTGACATTGCATTTTTTTTTCTTTATTGCTGCTTTTGCATGATCTTAGTCAGTATTTAACACAGTGTAACCTGTGGAATAAATTTTTCATTCAGCGCTTTGCAAAAGGCTTTGACTGTTATCCAAATGGGGGAAAAAAATACCCCCTCTCCCCCAACCCCAAGCCAAACAAGCCCCTTAGAACTGATCCCCTTTTGGAACAATTTGTGGTAGTTTACTGATGCTTTAAGTTCTCTCTGCTTAAATCACTCAAAATAGTTTTTGTAAGGCATTCATGCATCTTATATCCATGCATATTGTACGACAATATTTGCATTTATACAGCTAAAAAGAATASAGTTAATTTATGAAGCGTGAATCATACGCAAGCCCATGTACAAGTTCAGAATTTGGCATGTTTCTTTCTGATTTTCCATTAGCAAATTGCTGCACAGCTCTCCAGTGTGAAAGCTATCACTTGCTGTTTTGAAGGAAGAAGGTGAGAGAGAGGATTTTGAGGGGAAGAGAAGCTGTAGAAGAGCTTGAAATACATTGATCGTGGAAACTCCCCGAGCGCTCTAGTGGAAGGAAAGAAGAACCAACTCTGAGTTTCCTTGTTCGACAAAGGTTTCCTACCATAAGCAGAGATACAGAAAGTGGGTCTTAAAAGGATGTTTGGCAGCTTGGGGTGTCAGTGAAGATTTTCTGCCATTAATTCTTCCAATGTCCCTGTTGTCGCTTTTGAGGCTGATCCTGGCTGCTTGATGCYCATCCCTGGCAGAGGTGTTTATGGCTGGTGTTTGCTCAGTCMTAGTGGTATTTTGTTGGAGAGCTTMGTTTTTCAAGACTGTCCAGTATTTTGTAATACCTAAACTCCACATTTTCCAGTATGGTCCTTCAAAAAGAACCTAGGAACTAATGCGAGTGCCTGCATGCTTTTTTTAAGGCAAGCCTTTAAAGTGTCATATGTTCAATTAGGCCTGTGGAAGTGGCTGTTACTACTTCAGGTTGTAGATGGAAATTCTGCCACAGGGCTTTCGGTCTGTCTGCAGGAAACTTGGGTGGCTGCTTTTGGAAACGTCAGCGCTGRTATTTCTGTGCACTCAGTTTCTCATTATTAAAATTACAGTGTGTATACTGACACAAGTGCTGATAGCTGGGTGCCTGGGAAAAGCTCATCAGTAGAGTCCTCTTCCTGTTAATTTGTCGAGTGAAAGGTACTATTAAAGAGTAGAAAGCTTTTTTTTTTTTATTTATCTATTTTTAAGACYGAGGGAATGGACATGTCATATGAACTGTAAAATGTTTTAACTTTAAATAAAATCCAAATACATCTGACAGTCTGTCATGCAAGATTTSCTTAAAGCAAAGATGGTTACCTGCTTCCCAGTTTGGTAACTGTGAAGTGGGTTTACTATTATTATTTCTGGAAAAGGGATTCAGCAAGACAGATTCGAGCATATAAGATAAAACTAAAATCTCATTCCATTCTTAAGATTTCTTCCCTCGTAGCAACAAGTACATTAAGACTGGCAAGAAAATCTTAAAATATCTTTTATCTTGGGGTAGATGATGGGCTTTTTCTTCTGTAGTTGTCCCTCACACCCCACAAATTCTGGAAACTTATGTGTGCAGTAACTGTTGGCATTTCCTTTACATACATTTTAGAGGAATGTGTGTGCCCTTGTAGGTGTGAATGTGCACAGGCATCTACATTATCTATGACATAGATCTCCTGTTTATAAACCTCTTTATATATTTTAATGTTTAGCACCTTTCATCACTTTTTCTCTGTAAAAAGGAGGTTCTCTGACTCTTTGTCTCAGTGCTTGACCCTCAGGTAACGCAGTTTCTATAAGGAAGGGTTAAACTTGACCAAAGTTTCCCCTTTTACTTAGCTGCTGGTTTTAAATGGGTTTAGCTGCAAGTGGAAGAAGGCTCCAAGGGAACTCTTGCCTTAGCTTGATTAAAAAATTATTTAGGTTTACTCCGATAAGAAGAGGCTTAGGAAAGCAGGAATAAACACACCCAAGCACAGGCTTGCCCTGCTTCTCTGTGTAGGCTACCTTTACAGACCAGAAGAGATTACTGCTTGATCTTAGGCTACAGAAGCAAAAAGGAAAAGGTTCTTATTTCTTGCTGAGACAAGGTAGCTGCCTCTGCGCTCCTAATCTGCTATGGTATCAACTGGAAAGGGTTTGTATAAAAAAATGCAGAAGACCTGCATGCACTTGCTGGCCTGCTTTTTGACAGGGCCAYGTAGTTTTGTGTTCTCAGCAGTGTAGCTGTTTCCACCATTTGTGCATTTTGCTAAATTCCTTGCTTTTGAAATCTTATTAGAGTTTGTTATGGCAAATAAGAGTGCTCTCCTGACTGCTTAGGAGCGAAACATTCCCAGAATGATCTTTTGGAGGCAACAGGCTRTAGATCTAGATTGGAGTAAGCATCGGGGAGCCAGGCCAGCATCATGAGTTCTAGAACAGTTGCAAGACAGGAGAAAGGTAGGATCTTGAATGGTAGATAGAGCTGGTTTCCTGACATTCATAAGTTAATACACAAGTGAAAATACTTTTGAGGGCAGGAGATGCAAGTCTGCTTTTTGTTGAATGCCTTTTTTTCCCCCCTTTTGAGAACAAGATGTCTTGACAGTTTGCTGATATGATAAGTGCTAAAGTTTTCACTCCTCAATAAAAATGTCTTTCTCTTCAATTGTGTCGCCAGATTTGAGTAAAATAGGTGTTAACTGAGCCCACGTTTTAAATAACTTGACTAAAAATCTCTTCCTCTTTCTCAATGAGTCAGCTTTCAATCTGGTAGACTTTTAGAGGAACAGAAATTAGCCAGAAATGGCTTCTAGTCTGTACCTRGTCCGACGTAATGTTGGGCTGCTTCT